TGGAGACAATCAACCAGTTTTTGAGTATAAAAGTCCAGAAAATGTTGAAATATGTGTGCAATTGACTCGTTATTTGCCAGAAGAATGACTGCACTTTTGGCACTAAATCGTCGCTTATCTATAAAACACGTAAAAAATTAATTAAAACACTAATCAATCGTTTGACAAAATCAATGGCAAACCGTCTCCAGAATGGGTGGAATGGTTTTGTTGATCCAAACGCGAAGTACTTCCGTAGAGTTCCACACATAGAGCGATACTTCGGTGAATTTGGCCCAAAACAGTGTCAGGTATGGCGAGAGCACTGCCGACACGGACTTCCAATACACGGGTAGGTTTACGGCGAGCCAACTGTTCCCACAAACAATACATTATCAATAAAAGACCGCAAAATTCAAAATATAATTGCAATCAATAATTGTGTGACAAATGGACACAAACCTGTAGGCAATGAGCGAATAGGTCTCGATCTTAGTGTACGCCTGTTCGACGACTGGCAAAGTGCCCGTCCGTTTCAATAGATTCCCAGTGAATGACTCTGTCATTCAAATTACATAACGATTAGTGTGTAATTCATACTAAATATCAATCAATAATTACTTTGAAAGGATCCGTGAGTTTTGGTGTCGTAGGCCAGCAGTGAGACCAAGAGTAGGGTCAGCACCAGAAGAATGGATTTGATGGGCACCTTCCAGCTCGACATAGTGTTCAACAGTGTCTTTAGTATATACACAAAACAACACAATTAAAGGGGAATGTTATGAAGTGTGAGATAGAGGGGGAATGACTAGAGAGAAAATAACGAGTGGTGGAAATGTAAATGTTTCAAAATTATATCAATGTATGAGTGAATGTCTGCGAGAAATGTGTGTACAATAATCCCTATACTCTATTAGCACTCGCTGTACAACTATTAAACCATGTTTTCCACAACCCCTGCCTATCGAGTAGAACATTACAGTATATGGAGATTCTATGCCCACAAAGGCTATGGTATGTACAGTATGTATAACCACTGAATGCGAGTGGAAAGGGATCAGGTTTTCAAGCCATTACTATCCCCTCTTTCCCTCTCTCTCCACATCCAGTATTGTTGAGCCAATGTTATGTATATTCTGGTGACACTTCCACTGCCAGTCATTTTCTATGGGCGATAATAGCCCTTCTCTGCCCATAAACTCTCCAATGGAGTTCCAGTGCGAGTGTTTTGAATGTCTTATTCTTCTAAAACTTTTTTTATTTGCTTTAAATTTTGAGTTTTAAGTGTATTGTTATTGAAAATAATGGAAATATAAAACAACTCTTTGATAACATTATGTAATTGTGTTATTTATAGTACAAACTTGTCGTTATAACTGATATGAAAATAATACCTATAAATGTAACGTAACTCTAGAGTAGACTATTAGACACGAAATCAATAAAATATATGTATTAAATGATTACAGAATTCCTATGAATCGCATATTAAATGACATACATATGTGTGAATGTATTATATGGCACGAAAATCAATATACTGTATTCACTGTTTTATAACACTTTTGTTGCAAATTAATCACAAAAAATGGTGCATAATTTACAGCAAAAACAGTGAATAACAGCGCAAAACCGTTGAGAGAATCGCTATTAAATTGCTTTCGTTTGCAATAATTAACAGATTTGTAATCAACAAAAACAACACAACATTATGTAAAGTCTAACTCCAAGTCGAGACAGACTCGAGACATAATAACTAGAAATCTAATCATTAAAATAAGTAAATAAAATTTAAAACTCAAATAACAACACATATATAACTTGTTTATAACTATAAATAATTTATAATAAATTCCATTCAAATTAAAACAAAAACAACTTTTACAACATTAAAATTGTTTGCCATAAAATTATTACATAACATAATGCTATCTATCAATCAGTTTTACAAATATCATATTTGTTAAAAATTTTATTAATTGTCGATTCAATTCATTCATAACTAAACGATAAGATTTTTGTCTAACTTTTATTTTTAATAAGTTTTCGCTTAAAAATTGCATAAAGAATCAAATGATAAGGAATTGTAAGATAAAAACACAAGACATACCTCACAGTGTGCTTCACAGGCCTCGTGTCCATCCTTGAGAGGCTTACCCTCGGCTCGGAAGTCGTCGTTTGTATTGCGAAAACTTAATACCGTTTCGGTCAACAGTTTCTTCGATAGATTGGACGGAAGTGTTCGGTAGTTATCGATCAGATACTCGAGCAGTTGAGCCGACTATTGAAACGTTGAATTGAGTTTAAATCACAATTCAAATTCAAAATTGACTTAAATGTTACTTGAGTTAAGTTTTGCGAATACAGAGTTCGCCAAACGCTAAAACACTTTTCGTCCGAAGCCATACATTTGGCCAATTCGGCCAACAGTTCGGGCCTCTGGTAAACAAACTTATCGGCGTTTAATCGCTCGAAAAGGTACGGGAAATAAAGGCTAGCGTTTTGTTTCGAGTTATTGTAAATCGAAATTAACTGCAAAATCAATAATAAACACAAATTAAATCAATTTCACGCATAAGAAAAACAAATACCAAATTCACACATACTTTAAGTTTGGGATAAATAATTTCCATTTGTTTCTGGAAATTGGTTTGCATTCCATTGCCGGGCGAATGAATGAAATCCCAGATCACAAAGAATCTCTTCACGTCCAACACATCCGCCTTTACTTTGCTATTGGAGTGAAGTCTACAACAAAACGGACAGAGAATTCCCAATTAGGAAACTAAACAAAATATCAATTATAAAAATTCTTACTCTAAAACCATTCGCAACGAATCGACGATATACTTTGTGTACACTTTCTGGCTAATGATGGGCAGCATTAGCTCTAACCAGATGTTAAGACCGCATTTCAAGTCCTTTTTGCCCGACTGCTGGGCCACCCATAGAACCGATAGACACACCGGTTGTCTGTTGGCATAGGAAACCCTTTGCTGAATAAACTTCTGTATGTTATTGAGCGTAAACTCCGGGTATTGAGCGCTAATGCACTGAAGCATTATCCGGAAGCCCATCGTCGGACCCGACGGCTTGACCAGACTCTGGAGCAACTGTTCCTGAATGAGTTGCAGTATAGGCGCCGGACACTGATGTATATTGCGTTTAATAAACTCCAATACATTTTGGGGCAGTGCACACGACGGGTAGTCTAGTATGCAATTAATATTCATTATTATAGTTATTAAATCAAATGTTTTGTCCGCTAATTAATTACCAATTGATTTGTCGGCAAACGTCACGTCTTCGGGTTCAACGGATGGAAACTTCCCGTTCACTACACGTCAAGAAAATATAAGTCAAATCATGTTTTCATTAAATATTTGAAATATTTTTCACAATAATAAACAGATAATAAAAATCAATATTTTTCTAAAAGTCTATATAATTATAGAAAAACAAGAATCCGATCGAAATTCTGGGCAAACACTCTGAATATATAAATATATCTCATTATAAGAAATAATCACTGAATTTAATCACTCGACTTCTATAACAAAAATAATACAATTTCATTGACATTTCAAAGCTATTGAAAAAATTATTTAGTTTTAGTATTGAGACGGAAATCATAGAAATACTTATAACTGTAAATCTAATGAATTAAATTAAATACAAGTAAAATATTCATGTTTTATGTGTTCACTATTTAAATACAATTGCAATGCAAACATAATATGCAAAAATCAATAGACTTTTTTAGCTAATAACGTGTTTTCTGTACTTAAAAATGCAAATAAAAAACTTTTTTTCTTTGTTTTTCACGTTTTTATAGCACAGCGAAGAAGACATTCAAAGCCAAAGCCATTGAATGGATGTTTAAAAATAGATATTTCGCATACAATAGCGTACAAAGCAATGGCACAGAAATATTAAAACAAAAACAAGCGATTAATTACTTGTTTTTGTGGATCACTTACAGAAGTATGCGATGTCTTTGAGCCAAATGAGAGGCATATCCGGGAACTTGAGTTTCGTCTCTT